ATGGAGCCTGCAACCTAGGTACGTGCCCTTGACCGGAATAGAACCCAGGCACTTCAGTCTATAGGCAGAAACTCTATCCACGGAGCCAAACCAGCCAGGGCTCTATGAGGATTTTTGACTGTGTGTGTGTGGAGGGTGGGGTGGCGGCACACTTAACCCCTGTATTGTTTAAGAGTCAAGTGTATAACACATTTTCTGTATCCATTCATAGAGCAACGTTTAGGTTGCTCTATGTCTTGGCTATTGTGAATAATGCTGCCATGAATGTGGGGGTCCAGATATCTCTTTGAGATACTGATTTCTTTTCCTTGAGGTATATACCCAGAAGTGGGATTCTGGGTCATTTGGTAATTCTATATTTAATTGTTTTGAAGAAATTCTTACTGTTTTTCATAGTGGCTGTACCCATTTAGACCCCCAGCAACAAAGCACCAGGCTTCCCAACTGGTTGGCTCTGAGTAGGGAAGAGACACCTGATTCGATTTAAAAAAATATATATATATGTATTTATTGATTTCACAGAGGAAGGGAGAGGGAACATGTGTTCTGATCAGGAATCGAACCGTGACCTCCTGGTTTATATGTCAACGCTCAATCACTGAGCCATGCCAGCTGGGCTTGATTTGGTTTTAAAGGGTCCCTCTGCCAAGGCCAGTAAGTGAAAGGTCGACAGAAAACTTTCTACCAGAGAGGTCAGGACCTGGACGCACTACAAGGACCATTGCTTAGTGTGATGTGATGCTCCAAGAATGGGTCAGCACCTCCAGTAAGAAGCTCTTGACAGAATGAGCCAGAATCTGACTTAATTCCCAGTTTATAGGGGACTCCTGGGAATGGAAGGATATCTTGAGTAGCACCACAAAAATGCCATCAGCCAAATCTAGGATATGAAAAGTTGTACAGCCTTGGTCAGTGTGGCTCGGTTGGTTGGAGCATCGTCCTGTGCACTAAAAGGTTGTGGGTTCGACTCCTGGTCAGGGCACATACCCAGGTTGTGGGTTCCTTCCTCGGTCAGGACATGTGTGGGAGGCAGCCAACTGATGTTTCATTCTCACATCAATATTTTTTTTTCTCTCCCTCTCTTTTCTTCTTTTTCTAAAATTAAAAAAAATAAATAAAAGGAAAAATTGTAAAGGACACATTTCTTCAAGAAATAAGTGGTGCCTGGCAGGTGTGGCTTACTAATAGTGGTTGAGCGTTGAGCTGTGCATCAGGGGGTTAGGGTTCAATTCCTGGCTAGGGCACATGCCTGGGTTTTAGGCTCAATTTCCAGTCAAGGGCATGCAGGAGCAGCTGATCAATGATTCTCTTTCATCATTGATATTTCTATCTCTCTCTTCCTCTCCCTTCCTCTCTGAAACAAACAAACAAAAAAGTGGCACACAGAATGTTAGAGAATGGTTGAAGGTTTCAAAGATGTAAGATGGTACAAAGGCACTGTATGGTGAGGCTTTGGGTCCTTGTTTGAACAAACCCAGTTATAAATTACGTTTATGAGACTGTCAGGGAAACGTGAACACTGACACCGAAGAGCTGCTAATAGCGAGAGGTGTCAAAATAGGTATTGCGGTGGTAACTTTTTCTTTTTTTGTAGAAAAGCAAGTAAGAATTTATTGATGGCAGCAAAATCATACTTAGGACAGTGAAACGAGGAAGGGCATGGAAGAAGCAACAGGAGAGCCCAGGCTGGGCTGCTTTGGCTGGGAAGTCAGAGAAAAGGGGGCCTTGGAGACAGGGTCAGGGGGTTAGCCCTGGAAGAGGTGCTGCTGCCCATTGCTCCCCTGGGACAAGCCTCACCTCAGTGAGGTCCCTTAGTGGATGGGGATACATGGCTGTGGGGGAAGGAGAGAGGGAAGAGAATGGCAACCAGGGCATGTGTCCTGAGGGAGAGCGCCTGTGGTTGTAACTTTTGAAAAAGCAAATTTTAAAGGGGGTTAGGGGGGAGAGGGGTTATTGTTTTAAAAAGTTAAGCCTCTTTGTTGCAGATGAAATTTTGGATACAGATACATTATAAATGTATATAATGCTACTGAATTGTACACTAATGGTTGATATTGGGATGCATATTTTACCACACACCCAAACTAAAATAATCATAACACGCGTCACCTTTCACACTGAGGCAGTCCAAGGTCCATCCTTCCTTTCAGAAAAAAGTTTGCTAGTATTCCCGATCCCATGCTTCCCTGGGTGTGAATTTTGAGTGCTAAAGAAAGCAAGTCATCGCTTTAATTTAAAAGGAGAAAACCTTAAACATCATTCAGTCCTTTTCACATCACACTGTTGATGTGAGACACGTCCAAACCTGAAAAGAATTTTTATGAGTGTATTTGAGCTAAACTGATGACGATGGCCAGGAATCAAAAATTTCAACGGATTGAGAAAAGCTCCAGAGAATGGCAGTTTTGCAGCTTATTTTACACCTTAGAATCAGAGGAGGAGGTGTAGAGTGGGTTACATGAAATCTATTGGTGGTAGATTTAGGGGAGGGGAGAAAGCAAAGGTGGAGGTAAGGGTGGCGGGTCTAGCAGGGGGAATCTCTGAGATTGGATGAAAAGTAAAACGGATACGTACTTCTTTTACAGGATAGTGAGCAATTACAGCACATAGAGATGGTATGTGGAAGAACAGATAACAACAAGGGCTTCTGTGGTCTCAGCTCTGGTTCCTTGGGTGTGCCCTGCGGGGTCTGGGAAAGATTACTCTAACATTTCAAAGGTATGTTTCCTTAGATGCCAAAAGGCAGGCTCACTTAAGGAAAGGTTGACCTTTGTCAAGGAAGCTACAGGCCCAGGACAGGCTATGGGCCATGACCTGCTTTTAGTTAGGAATTATGGTCACACTGTCCCATGTGGTTACTTTCAGTCTGCGTTGACAAGGCCGTCATGCAGGTCTCCCCTGAGCTCATCAGGTTTAGTATGTGGTCCCTTTTTTTGCCCACAGCACTGACATATTAAAACACAGTAATAGTACATCCCAGAACTTAGCTTGTATTTTGTTTCTATTAAGTCCCAGAATTTTTCACATTTCTTTTTTGAAATGTAGTACATCTCTCAGATGCTACCTCCTCAGTCAGGCTGTGATCAGCTGGAAAATGGCCAAGTTAGGATGTTCTGGGCTACCTCTATAGAACGTAAACTAAAAAGTGAAGTGATAGCATCAGAGGAAAAAAAACCCAAAACACAAAACTTTCGGCCCTGGCTAGGTAGCTCAGTCAGTTAGAGCATTGTCTCAATACACCGAGGTTGCAGGTTTGATGCCAGGTCAGGGCACATACAAGAATTAATCAAGCCCTCGCCGGTTTGGCTCAGTGGATAGAGCATCGGCCTGCGGACTGAAGGGTCCCAGGTTTGATTCCGGTCAAGGGCATGTACCATGGTTGCGGGCACATCTCTAATAGGAGGTGTGCTGGAGGCAGCTGATTGATGTTTCTCTCTCATCAATGTTTCCTACTTTCTATCCCTCTCATTTCCTCTCTGTGAAAAATCAATAAAATATATTTTTAAAAAAAGAATTAATCAATGAATGCATGGATAAGTGGAACAACAAATTGATGTCCTCTCTTGCTTTAAAATCAATAAATTAAAAAAAAAACTTTAATGGTACATGCATTGCTAAAGCATTCAGGGGTCAGATAAACTGTCTCAAGTTACTTTGAAACTCCTAGAAAAATGAACTGGATGGACAGGTGGAAAGACATGTACTAAAGCCAACTGAAGCCAGGGGCACATGGCAGTTCCCCAATAATTCCCTCAGCTTTACTTGAATTTTTTTTTAAATATATTTTATTGATTTTTTACAGAGAGGAAGGGAGAGAGATAGAGAGTTAGAAACATCGATGAGAGAGAACATCGATCAGCTGCCTCCTGCACATATCCTACTGGGGATGTGCCCGCAACCCAGGTACATGCCCTTGACCGGAATCGAACCTGGGACCCTTCAGTCCGCAGGCCGATGCTCTATCCACTGAGCCAAACCGGTTTCGGCATTTACTGGAATTTTGAATCTTGAAAATTGTCATAAAACTTGCAGAAAAGTGGATGAAATAAAAAGCAGGAAGGTGATGGCTGTCAAATGAGATTGGTGATTGTACTAGTCTACTTCTGTGTTTGAAAACTCCCTTACTAATTACCAAATAAAAGGATGCTTCTGGTTTCTTAAAGAAGGCAGGAGGAAAAGGGTTTAAAAGAGGCGGAAGTAGGGTTACGGCTTGTGTTTCGGAATCTGCTTTTAAATTGGGAGAGTTCCCAGGGATTGGATGGGCCATTTTCAGGCTTTCCCTGGCTGAGGCCCACCCTGTCCAGGGTCCAGGCCAGCTGTTCGGAGGTTACCTTCTCCCCACCCCCCCTTGGCCTCCTGGGAAGTAAGCCCAGGACAGGCCCCTCCTCCCCACATCTGGTACTGATGTCAACAGCCAGGGTGGGCGGGGGCCATGTTTTTCAGGTCCCGCCCAGCCTCCAGGGAGGGGTGGACGCCCCCATCCCCACCCCTTGCTCACAATGTCAGACACTGTCACACACACACCAGGCTCTGCCACGGGGCTGGACCACAGGCCAGAAACAAACTTTTATTACAAAACAGGGTCCTTCGAGTCACAAGGCCAGCAGATCTGGTCTCTTCCCTGACACCGGGAGTTGGAATCTGGCCCCTACTTGTTCCTCTAGCGCAGTGTTCTCAACCTGTGGATCGCGACCCCTTTGGGGGTCGAAAGACCCTTTCACAGGGGTCGTCTAAGACCATCAGAAAACACATATATAATTACATACTGTTTTTGTGATTAATCACTATGCTTTAATTATGTTCAATTTGTAACAATGAAATTGGTGGTCACCACAACATGAGGAACTGTATTAAAGGGTCGCGGCATTAGGAAGGTTGAGAACCACTGCTCTGGCCCTTTCCCCCGTTTCTACGTGGGACTTTGAGGAGGGATGGTGGGTCAGTGTGTGTTGAGGAGGCAGGAGAGGCTTTCAGCATGGTTATATAACCTGGTCTGAGGGTCCCATGTGTCCTAGTTTACTTGGTTCCCAGCTCTGTGTGCATAACTGCACAATGAAGGTATAATCTGTAGTTGGGAGAATTTAGGGATCAGGGTGCTTGGAAAGGGTCCTTGAAGGCTGAAGGTGGGAAGGCCAGGGTGTGACTGTCTCAGTAGGAAGATGTCTGGGAGTCAGGATGAGGCCAGGTGTGAGCTGGCTGTGTGGTTCAGTGGTTGGGAGAGTGTGGCTTATGAGTCACATGCCTGGGTAATGGTGTGGTCCCGCGAGGGCTGAGGGTAGTCTCTGCGAGGAGAAATGGCCCAGGAAGGTGCCTGTTCCCTGCCCCAGGCTCCTGGAGACGGTGGTGCTGTTAAGTGTGATGAGTGAAGAGGGCATGTAGGCCGAGAATACGGTGGAACTCCCACACATGGGTTGTGAGTCCAGGGGACTTACCCTGTATGCAAGTTGGTGGGTTATCTGGGCATGTGGTTATGATTCCAGAAAGACTAAATTTAGGTCTATAGAAAGCTTGTGCGGCTGAGTTGCCTTGTGGTTGTGTATGGGTGTGTGGTTCAGTGAGTGTGGCCCTGTGGACGAGTATCTGTGTGACTGACTCTCAAATACAACTACAGGTGTGAGAACGTGGTTTCCTGTGGTGTAGACATGGCTCTGGACACAGCCATGTCCAGGCCCGAGGTCGAGGCTGCTACCTCCCAATACCCTCTCCTTCATTTGTTCCTCACGATGGGGTGGGATAGTCAGCGGGGACGGACTTGCAGCTGGAAGGCTGGGGGGATGTTGAAAAGGCCACTGACAGCTGGCTGGAGACTCACGGCACCCACTGGGCACGGGCTCTCCAGAGAGAAGGCCTGCAGGATGGCGGTGACGAAAAGGAACAGCTCCGCTCGTGCCAGGCCCTCCCCGAGGCAGACACGCTTACCTGGGGGGAAGAGGGAGATAGGGCTGGGCTAGCCCTCCTCACACCCCAGCCAGTGGGTGGGCAGGAACCGGCCCAGTAGATACCTAAGGAGAAGGGCAGGAATGCCTCCTTCTTCTTTAACCTTCCGTCTGCATCCAGAAATCGGCCTGGGTTGAACTCCTCTGGCTGCTTGAAGACTTCGGGGTCATGCAGGACAGAGCCCAGGAGGGGGAAGACCTCAGTGCCCTGAGGGGAAATCATAACAGAACTACAAATATCTTTCACCACCCAGGTTCTGGGTGGCAGAGCGCAGGAATCTGCACTGTCGCGGACACCAGTTCACAAAACGTAATAGCATCGACATGTAACAAGCTTATTACGGGCCAAGCAGTTTATTAAGCGTTTTATGTATATTACCTCACATGTAATAGGTACATGTCTTCCACTTACACACACTTACAACCACACATGTAAACTCAGTATATGTTTTAACAAGCCTAGGAAGCAGTTACTAATATGATCCCCATTTTAAAGATGGGAAAACTGAGGCCCAAGGAACTTAAGCAACTTGCCCAAGGCAACATTTGACACAGCAGAGCTTGTTATTTTATTTTTTTAATACATATTTTATTGATTTCAGACCTCCCACAAGCACTCCCCACCTCCCCCACTATCACGGATTGAGCCTGCAACCCAGGCATGTACCCTGACCGGGAATTGAACCAGGGACCCTTCAGTTCATAGGCTGATGCTCTATCACTGAGCCAAACCAGCTAGGGCCAGAGCTTGTTATTTTTAAAGTAGAGGCCTGGTGCATGAGATTCGTGCACTTGAGAGGGGAGTCCCTCAGGCCGGCCTGCTCCCTCTTGCAGTTCGGGAGCCCTCAGGGGACGTCCGACTGCCAGCTTAAGGCAGCTCCTCCATTGAGCATCTTTCCCCCCTCCCCCGGCATCCCCCTCCCTCCTCCACCAATCCAAGTTCAGGGAGAGTGGCTGCCCCTTCAGCTGAGATCAGAGTTGCCATGTTCCCAGGACTGTGTTGGAGGGTGAAGGAAGGTAGGGAGTGAGGAGAGGAAGAGCGAGGGACCTCCATTGCTAGGAACTCTGGCTAATGGGCTCTGAGCTGGGGATGTAAGAGGACTATAGGAAAAGATAGGGTCATGCCATTGCTATTAAAATAAGAGAAAGGCAGATAGCAGTGGTTAAAGCATAGGCTTGGGTTAATATCTTTCCCTGACCACTTGTGGGCTGGGTGACCCTGGCAAGTCTTCTAACCTATCAGGGTCTCAGTTTTCTCATCTGTAAGATGGGCATGTTAGTGGTGTAGGATTGCTCTGAAATCTAAACACCTGGCACAGAGCAGGTCCTCGATCATTATTACTGTTGTCACCATCAGTAGTGGTTGTCATTGCACAGTCACTGTGTTAACAATAGTCCCTGCTGCTGCCTCATGCACAAGACTGCCACCCCCCAGATCCGGAGAGCCAAGTTGGTGCTTTGCAAGCATTGCCTCATAAGATTCCTTGCAATCCTGGTTAATACTATTATCTTTCCCAATTTAGAAGAGGGGTAGGTGGAGGCTCCGAGGGGGAAGGGATTTGCCCAAGGTCCCAGATAAAAGACTGGATTGCAACGGCCAAGGATCGATTCTACTACAATGAAGCTCAGGAGGAAGTTTATCAGAAAGTGCCTTAGGTTTCTGAGGAGACATCGCCCCCTGGTGGTGCTGGCTCCAAGTTGCTCTCTAGTGAAGGGACAGGAACTGAGATGGGGAAAAGAGGAGGAGGAGGAGAAGGGGGAGGAGGGGGAGAAGAAGAGAGGAGGAAGATACAGAAAGAGAGAGACCAAGATCCAGAAAAAGTCAGAGAGACACACAGATAACAACAGACTCAGGCCTAAGCCAGAGATACTACTGGGCATGGCTGCACTGCAGACCCACCTGGGGCAGGGTGTATCCTCGGAAGTAGGTGGTCTTTGTGAGGGCTCGGGGTATCCCCATGGGCACCAGTGCCAGCAGCCGCTGCGCCTCGTGCAGAACTGCATCCGTATATGGGAGGCGAGCTCGGTCCCCCAGGCCTGGAGCCCGGCCAGCACCCAGCTCCCTTGTCAGTTCCTCGTGCACGCGTTCTGCCCCCAAGAAGAGGAGGACTGGAGGTCAGAGGGGTAGGGACCTCTCCCCTGGGAGCCCCATCTTCTTGAGCAGCTGTGGTTAGGGATGTGGCTGGTGGGTAAGCGGAAAAGCCTCCCAGCCCTCCCTGAGCCCAGGTCCCACACATCCTGTGTGCTGGGCACTGCTTCTCTCCTATCTTAACTCCGTCAGCTATTCTGTGAGCTAGGTGCCAGTATCTACCCGCATTTCCCAAACGAGGAAACCGAGGCCCAGAGAGCTGAAATCACAGCTGACTCTAATCCACCAAGGCCACCAGACCTCAAGTTCCATCTGTTAGGTCAACGAAGGAGGAACCCACAAGGCCAGAGTGGTGAGAGACTACAAATTTATTTGATCATCCGCACACCAGTGGCTGACCCTCGGTGGCTCCAGCACCCAGTGAGGGAAGTCAGCGGCTTTTAAAGGTCTTTTGGCGGGATTTTTCTGGGCGGAGACTTCTTTATGCATACCCGGAGAGAATGGAATGTGGTCACCGCAAGTGAAAAGTGGTCTTCAGCAAAGGGAATGTCCATAGTGAAATGACCTGAAAAGCCAGTTGGGGGTGGTGGGAGGGGAATCAACTCAATTGCTTCACAAACAGTTTGGCTGGTCTGAGTGCAGTGTCTTCTTATCCAACCATCCTGGCCCCTGGCTTCACCTGTCCTTTCCTTCCCTTTCTCTTTTCCCTTGGACAACAGCCCATTCTAACATTCCCTCCCACTTTCACTGCAATAAGATCTCAACCACTCATCTGTTGCACCTTATTGGCAGTGCCATGGCGGCTACCCTCTCAGCTTGGAGTGAGAACTAGGAAAAGGAATCTCCTACCCTTTAGTCCACCTCTTCCCCTTACACCTATCAGCTTGTCTCCATGATCAGGGATTTTTCTTCCTCTGTGGGGAAAACACATACATCTGTCTCCCCATCAGCTGGACAGGAACCTGTACTCTTGTCTCTCACCCAATGTAAATGGAGCCCCCAATAATCAGTCTTTACCTGTCCCCATAACACATCATATCTGACACAAAAGAGGAGTCCACAGCAGGGGTTGGAACTGCCATCGGGAGCTTAACCACTGCTCTACCTATTTTGAAACGTCGTCTCAGGACCTATAAGAAACATGTGGCCCTGGCTGGTTTGGCTTGGTGGATAGAATGTCGGCCTTTGGACGGAAGGGTCCCGGATTCCATTCCGACCAAGGGCATGTACCTGGATTGCGGGCACTTCCCCAGTGGGGGATGTGCAGGAGGTAGCTGATCGATGTTTCTCTCTCATCGATGTTTCTAACCCTCTACCCCTCTCCCTTCCTCTCTGTAAAAAATCAATAAAATATATTTTAAAAAAAGAATTAAATGAGTTAATATTTAAAAAAGAACAAAAGAAACATGTGGATGCCCAGCAAGGGGCAAAACTGGGAAAACAAGAACCTTACACCCAGGGTAACCTGTTCTCCCCTTTCATATCACTAGTGAAGCAACTGAGACCTTCCCCGCTGGGAACTGGCTTTTTGGGTCACTTCACTATGGACATTCCCTTTGCTGAAGACCCCTTTTCACTTGCAGTGACCACATTCCATTCTCCCCGCTTCGCATAAATAAGTCTCCGCCCAGAAAAATCCCGCCAAAAGACCTTTAAAAGCCAGACCTTTAAAAGCCGCTGACTCCCCTCACTGGGTGCTGGAGCCACCCAGGGTCAGCCACTGGTGTGCGGATGATCGAGTAAATTTGTAATCCCTCATCGTAATCCCTCACCACTCTGGCCTTGTGTGTTCCTCTTTCTCTACCACCTGCCCACTTGGCCCCTTCTTTTCTCCCCACAGCTTGATCCAGCCCTGTCCTCTCCCACCCAGGTCCCTACCCAGGCTCCCCTCCCACTTCATGGAAGCCCAAAGAATTTCTCTAAAATGCTAATCTGACCCCACCTCCCCCTGCCCAACATCCTTCCATGGATCTCCATTGCTCAGGATTAAGGGACAAGGCCCCAAGACATCTCCTGCCTCATTTCTCACTATGCCTCATTCGACAACCCACAGTCCCTCCGCTTCTCGTGCCTCAGACACCCCAGATGCCAGGCTCATGGTCACCTCCAGCTCTGGGCTCAGGCTGCCCCTCTCCTGAACATTCTTCCTCTCCAGCTCTCGCTTCTGTTACCAGGGCCTGGCTGGTAGAAAAGGCTCCTACCTTGGACCTTAGGGTAT